AAAAAAAAAGGATCTTTTTTTTGCCAAAAAAAAAAAAAAAAAAAGGATGTGGGGGAGGAATTGCTGGTTTAGCACGAAGAAAATGAAACTTTTGCATCAAACGTGATTCAGGAGAGAGTTTTGTGCACTGTTTTAAGTCCCTCCCTCAGCAACATCCTCTGGAGTTGGTTTATGCCGCATGAAACCTTGATTGACTAGAGCCCCTAAAATGTCTATTGAGGCAATCACTCTTCCCCAGCACATATGCAGACCCCAAGTCCCACAAGCAAAATGCAAGTGAGGTCCCAAAGGTCCCAAAGGGAGGAAAAGCAGATCTACTTACAAGCATTAGTCACAGAAAAACTATTGGAGGAATCCAAGTGATCTACGTGGTAATTCAAATGGAAGGGCTTCTCGGTGGTGTTCTGGTTGGTGTTGTATAACTGCACGGCAAAGCGGAAAGCGCTGTGCTCCTGCACCGTATTTCTCATGAAAAGTCCACCTATAAGCAAAGGGAACCGAGATTTGGCTTGTGTCCTCCCTCCCCCCCCCCAGGACAGGTTAGAAATTAGAGAGCACTGCAGATAGGAGATCCCTCTCAATGGTATGGGGGTACAATGATAATTGATTTTCAACCAGTGTGTCTTTCAAGACTCTTGTGAACTCAAATTTTGGCCAAGAGAAACCTGGTTTTCTTCTAGGCTGAAGAGGAGTAGGAGAGGCTGGAGAGAAGGGAGAAAGGGGAAAGAGGAAAGAGGGGCTCCTTTGGGGTAGGACATGGAACCAAGAGTGGGACTTGGCTGTTTCTCAGGCAGTAGCTTCCTCTCCATTGCCCCTCCTCCCCAACACACATCTCCACAAGCTTGTTAATGTTTATCTGGCATAAAGGGAAAGGTTGAGAAGAAAAACAATTTCTTTCTCCCTGGTGCCCCCATCCTGTTCCCCATTGCCACCCATGTCCACCATTACAATATAAGGGTTTGGCTCCGTAATGGCAATAATTTTAACTTTTTGAATTGTAAATACAGACAGAAGATGAGAAAACTCCCTCCCAGCGTCCGGAAACTGGGCTCCAGACAGACACAGCGGCAATTCATGAATTCCTGGTCTGCCTTACTTCGCTGCTTCCTCACTCAGTTCCTTGTTTCACCCCTGCCTTCTACCGCATCCTCCACCTACCCTGACTCCTCCGATCGCTGCCCGGGTGTGGGGGATCCGGAATGGGCTTCCACCTCTCCCAGCACTGGCCTGTCTGGGGTGAACCCAGATGCCGGACAGGGCGCCCCGACCTGGGTAACGTGCCCTGGCGCAGCCCGACAGGCGGCATCACCCTGGGACAACTTCCAGCGGCAGCACGCACGCCATGGCAAAGTCCAGAGCAGTGAGCCTAAAAACCGGGACTCTTTGCCCCTTTGCAGCATCCAGCATACTTCCCCTGTTCCCCACATCTCGGAAAACCCAGCAGTCCACTCCCCTCCCCAGCCCCAGGAGACCCCTCTCTGGTGCCTGATGCTCCCCAGACCCGCCAGCTCTCTGGGGCTCAAATCTCCGGGATTCCTGCCCGGTCCCGGTCCCTGTCCCCAGTCCCCCTCCCCAGGCGTTGCAGGACTGGGACCCGCGGCCGCAGTAGCCACGCCAGGGCAGTGGTCTCCAGTGCAGGAGAACCCAGCCGGACAGGCTGGCTCGCTAGCGCTTACCTATGCTGATGGTGTTGGGGAATCCTCCGTGAGAATGACCCAAAAGCCCCAGGACTAAAAAGAAGACCGCCTGGAGCATGCTTTGCCCCATTTTCTTCTGCCTGGCCATGCTACGCCTAAAACGAAGCTGACAAGAGCATGGGCGCAACTCGGGAGTCGTCAAAATAATAACAGAAAAAGAAAAAGAATTCGCTGGCTCTTACACCCCCTCCCTTCAACTTGCTCGCGCTCACTCTTCCTTTCCACCCTACACCAGTCCTCCTCCTCCGCCGCCTCCTCCTCCTCCTCTCTCTCTCTCTCTCTTTCTCTCTCTCTGATCCCTCTCGCTCTTAGACTCTCTCACATCCCCTCCCTGCCCCCCACCTCACTTCTGTCTTCACACCAATGTGGAAGGCGGGTTCACTGGCTGCAAGCTCGGTTAGCCAAAGAGATCTTTCTCCCTATCACTGAGGAGAGAGAGAGAGAGAGAGAGAGGGAGGGAGGGAAGAGAGAGAGAGAGAGAGAAGAGAGAGGAGAGAATAACCTAAAACACAACCCAAAACAAAAAAAGACAAATCACCGAAAAACAAAAACCAAACAAAAGAGAGAGACAGAAAAAAAAATTATAAAGAAAATCCAAGACTTTTCTCCCCCAGAAGATGGTGGGTGTAAAGAGGGGAAAAAAGAAGGAAAGAGCGAAAAGGCTCAGCGCCTGTGAATTGGGCTCTTCCAATTGGGCCGGTAGGGGGATATCGATCAAAGTTGATCTGACGTGGAATTAAAGCCGCACACCGCTTAGCTCTACTGCAAACTGCAGCCCCGGACTGCAAAGCCTTGGCGCTGGCGTTTGTCAACATGGGAGAAGGGATCAATAGAAATACACTAGTCCCCCTGTGGACCAGCCAATCAAGCTGCAAACTGGCCCTTTAAAAAAGAAAGGAAGATGGAAAAGCTGCATTGTCTCTGCGTTTGTACTTGTGTCTTAAAGAAAGGGGTCAGGGGTGCGGTTAGTGATTACTCTGGAGTCTTTTTAAGATTTGGAGAAGCAGTTCCCATCACAATGCGCCCAAAGATGCTGCGCATGCCCGGTCCCTACCGCTCAATTTTTTACAGCAGAGATCCCAGGGCTAGTGAACAGCCCCAACGCCCACAGCTTGTGAGGCCAGTGCCTCCCCTTCCGAGTGCAGAGCCAGCCTTGGGGGCAGAAGGGGGCAGTGATGGGCAGTGTGGGGATGACTGCTTTAGAGGACGTAGAAAAGTATGTGCCCGGATGTGGTAACTAAAAGGTTAATGAAAAGGACGCTCAATCCCATTGACGAAGGAGGAGAAAGATGTGGGAATGAGCTGGGATCCCGTAGGGATTGAAAGTTAAGGTTAAGAAAACTGTCTTTAGCTGCCTTGTTTCCTTGGTGTTGCTTCTGAACATAGGCCCTGACTAATGACTCCAGAAGCTATAAATCCCGCCCTCCCCCTCCCCCCTTCTTTTACTCTCCCGTCTAGGGCAGGAAAGACCCTTCCAAGTCAGGCAGTGCAACTGGATCTCAGTTGGTGGGTAGTTCCCTCTATAATCTTGTGGATGAACCTCTTGGTCTATAGACTCCTCTCCCTAGCCCCTTTGGTGAGAAAAAAGCAGCCTTTTTGTCTTCCAAGTCTTTCACTCCTACATCAGCTATTCTGGAAGTGACAGTTTTAATCTCTCCCCATACCAGCTATTCTCCTTTTCATATCCTCTCCTCTTGGTTTACATGCACCTGCTGCCAGTGTACAGCAAACTGGAATACATGGGGCAGGAGATATGGGACAGGACCCAGGGGCGCAATTTTGGATTTGGCATGACATAGGTTGGAGTCTGGAGCAGAAAGTTTCCAAATTCTTGGGCAACTAGAAAAATGGTTCTATGCTCTTCCAAATTTTCTGTCCATTTGATAATGCAAAATCTCTTCCTACCTCATCACGCATAGAAATCTTGTCTCCATTTGCCAGTTCATAGCTAGGAATGAGTGAGAAACCTGAGAGTCATAGAAGACTGAACTTACAAATGGTTGGAGCATTGGGGGCAAAGAGGGTAGCAGAGAATAGGTTGGTCACCCCTTGACAAATGTGAGGAGTGAGATATCATGGTTCAGGAACATAGACTTGGGAAACAGGTTCAAGTTCAAATCTATGTTCTATCACATATAGGCAGAGTGTAACCTTGAGTGACTTTCTTAATCTGAACCCCAGTTTTCTCATGCAATATGG